AATAATAATTTCTTCTGCCATATTACATGTATAATTCTTTTTCAGTTTTATTTCCTTTCTCTTTTTTAGCATATTTATTATTATTACAATTATCTAATACATTATAATATTCATTACTGTTGCTCTGCCATTGATTTTTGCATGTGTAATTTTGTTTATATTTTGTTGTAATAATTCACTTATAAGGGAGCCCATATTCCTTATAAGCCAAGTGGTTTCTTGGACTTCCTCGGCCCTTAGCTTTCGAAATAAATATTTATAAATTCTTGTTTTTGTATATCCTAACCCTAACCCAAAACAATAAACTGAACTGATCTGAATAATTATGCTCTCCTTTATATTTTGGTGGGATTACAGCAACAAGCTTTTTTAAAGTGTTGAGAACTGTACAGACACTGCTAGTCCTTTGCCTAAATTTTTCTTCATCACTTCTGTGATGATACATGTAAAACTTGATGAGCACTCCCCCATCCTTCCCCCCCTACCACCACACTAAGCTGAACTTCCCAGCCCTAACGCTTAACGTATAATTCTGCATTTTTTTTTAGGTGGCTTAGCAGGGCTTTCTATGATGTTTTACAAAAGTTCCACGATAGCATTATATCTAGCTTCAAAAATGTCTGAGGTAAGGTAAAAAATTATTGATGTCTTATAACTGGGCTCAGTTTTTTTACAGTTGAGCCTTAAGGTATGACCACCTTTTTGGTAAGCAAGGGTGGTGCAGTGGTTAGAGCACAGACCACCCACTTATGTGGTCAGGGGGTTAAATCCTAGTGTGGATGCCATATATGGGTTGAGTTTGTCACTGGTTCTCTCCTTTTCTTCTAGAGGTTTTTCTCTGGGTACTCCGGTTTTCCTCTCTCCTCAGAAACCAATATTTCCAAATTCCAATTTGACCAGGAACCACTATGTGGATGTGCTACTGCTTAATCATCAATATTATTATTAGTAGTAGTAGTAGTAGTAGTGGTATTATTTTTCCCAATCAAAGTACTTCAGTTGTAGCCTTCCTGTGAGGGACTTCCTCCCTTCAGTGTCTGTGAGCCCTCATATGGCTAAATAATGGTAAATGGTAAATCAGCATCGTTAATAATTTTGTGGTAGTGCATTCAGCTACTTTTGCTAGTTTACGGGGGCTCTATTCTAATAATTTGAAACTGTCAAAGTAGAACATTGCAGAATTAAGAAACCTAAGGCAATTAACAGGAGCAAGCTTGGCCAAGGATTTGATCTCGCAGCGAACAAGAAAGTGCAGGCCTTGGTCTTGGGCCCACAGGATTGCAAGTCCTGATGCTGCTATGGCCACTCACTTATGCTGCATTCAAAACACCGAGTCCAAATTTCAAGAAGAAAACATTCATAATATGCCTTAATTTTGTCAAAAAAATTCTTCCTCCTTAACATGGTTGTTGTTGAAGAAGAATTTGCACCGTTCACGAATACTCAAGAACTTGGACAGTTCACGAATACTCAGTGACCATGTTTTCTTGTTTTTTATTGCAGATTGTGTACAAGCAGGGAGTGTCAGCTGGGGTTCTTCCCTCTATACCTTATGCTGAAATTCTAACTTACACCTTTTCAACAGCATTCCTGTTTCATGCGGTGAGGACGCATTTTTTGTTTGATAGTGTTTTTCATTCTAATTTTTATAGTTAAGTGTATACCCTTTGATGTTCCAAAAAGCAATATTTCTTTTCAAACCTCGGCTTCCCCAGTTTGGATTTAGTATCTATGGACTTTTTATTGAGGAGTGACTGGACGAGCCTGGATATTTCCTGACCGTCTCCGGTCGTTTCGCTGCATCATAAAGTCGATTCGCTGCAACTAACTTTCGTATTAAACAGTTCAAAACAATTTGGAATGAACTACAAACGGGTAATCGACTTCACTACGTAGAGAAACGTTCACGACTTTGTAGCGAAACGACTATATTCTGGGCGAATCACTTATGCTTCATAATCAATTATGCATTGTGGAAAGAAACCAATAAAAAATTCAGCTGCGATTCCAGTGCAGTGCTCTAACCAACTGAGCAACTACGCAAGTCGCGTCTTTAACTGCCGTGATCGTCTTTGCATTTATTTCTTCATTCCTTCAATTTGTTCCCAACAAAACGCGCACTTGTGGGGTATTTTAGGGTCACATAACATCTGGAAATAAAACTGTTTCCTGCTGAAAGTCTTTGAGCAATCAACATTGCAACATTCATTACACCAGAGGGTTCTCGCTACGAGGCTAGCTGTGCATAGGCAAAGCTTTTTAAATCTCCTGAAACAAAATGACCGCTGCGTGCGAAAGGTGTATTATTTCTTTTTTTTTTTTCAGTGTACATGGGAGGTACACAGCGTCCGTCCTTCTTACTGGCGTTACCTGAATGTGGTTACAGGCAAGAGGTTGGAGCAAACACATTATTCTCTTATGTATTATCTAAATGATAATTAAACTGTTGTGTTATACACCATGACAAAAATAGCACTTAAAGTACACTGCTAGAATACTCTCAGGGGTAGTCGAGATAAAAAAAAGCGCTTAATTACATCCAAGCTGGTGATTTGTTTAAAAAAGAGTACCTGTTATCCTAAAAGCTTGCACTGCGAGCCCTCACAGAGAGGTAGGCATGCCATATAAATGAATGCTAGAGCAAACCGATTACTTGGACAGGGAGAGAGTCAGTTCCCTTCTTCGTTGACTCTTCAGCGCCTCTTAAATGGCTTTGGTAATTTTTCGTCTCGTTTTGTTCAACTTGGAACTGCCTTTCTGTCTAAAAAGGTGTAAGGGACATGGCGAACCGGATAAACTAATGGGCTAACCTTAAACCTACCTTGTAAAATTCGTGCTCTTTTTTTGTTAATGAAAAAAGGCCTCTGTTTCGTTCTTAGCACTCAGTGAAATCCAAGTCGTTAACACACTACCAAAGACAATGCTAGCAGTGTATACATTTAAGTTGGCATGCAGGTACATGCAATAACAAGGCGGGGAATTGAGTTCCTAGTTGTTCTAAAGGTGGATAGCGATCTTTTCCAAAGGATAGCGCAATTGGTTTCTTTTAGTGATTTCCTTCGGACAGGGTTCTCAAAGTAGATTGATCGCGCATCATCCTCATGGTTTGTTTTGACCCTCTGGAGAAGAGCCTCCTACTTTATCATTGCCGGCCCTGATTGACCCTGACATGCCGGTGGATAGCGTTATCTTTTTGAAAAAGGGCCAAGATCATATCCTCATGGTACTGATATTCATTTTGAAACATGCGATAAAAAAAAAAAAAATAGATCATAGACTGATGTTCATTTAAATGATTCTGATGTTGTAATTTATAAATGATTCCAAAAGGGCGTCTGTGGCGTCTGTGTAGGTGCCTGATCCTGAACTGATCTGTGATTCAGGATGATTTTGTTTTTTGGTTTTAAAATCGTCGGGCCAAAAAGTGTATAGGTTTTACTACACAGTTGATTTTGTGGTATTCTATGAAAACCACAAGTTAAAATTTCTTTAGCTGATAAGGTTTCCACCTTGTCTTTTTGTAAATACATTTATGGTAGATCAGGCAAGCAGTGAAATCCATATAATGATCGCACCATTATTAATATATTATACCATTCGAGTTTGAATGTAAATATTCGTGTTTGTTTCACACAGAGTAGTCTCAGATTTAGATCATTTATCAGTTATTGTATTATATGAATTATAAAGGTCTTTTAGAGTGTTATCTGCCGGAGTCTGAGGTAGATAACTCCCTGTTATTCTGCATAATTCCTCGTATCGTATTGTAACCGAATTCAATAATGCTTTTGTTATTCATTTAGAACATTTCCATGGTCATAACATCCTTTACCTCTACGTATAATTTCTTCATTAGGTATCCTTCAGAAAAAAAGTTGAAATCTTTTAGCAGCTTTTTGTGTATTGTTGCTTTCTTTTCCATCAACAGTTTGTTTATAACGTCTCCCCATATTTGTTCTTTTTTAATATGTTATAGGACGATTGACCATAATCGTCCATTGTTAATTACTTCTCAAACAACGTTTCTTTCAAATATGGTCACCGGTAGCTCACTACCAAAACAAATAACGGGCGAATTTAAGCCAAACAGAAACGGGGAAATATTGTGAATGAATGTAAAAAGTAAAAGAAGATGAAAATATACCATCATCCTCGGAGACCCAGGGGTAGCTGATTCGAGAATAGATATTCAGGACACTTACTCTAATTCCGTGATTCTGATTGGCTAAAAAATATTTTGTAGCCAATTAAAAGCACGGAATTTGAATGCTTCCGAAACTGGTTCGGCAAGAGTATGCGCCTAGGTGCTCTCACGTGACGACAGTGACGATGGCTTGGCAGATATAAAAGATGAATTGACCAATAGCTGAGCGGCAAATTGAGGCCGGGAGTCATGCTCAGTTTTTTTGGCGCGCGCTTTGCTAAATTTGCCTTACGTAAACTTTGCAGCGGTTTCCCCGTTCGCTGCCCCCGCTCTCTTAGCATGATGCTTAATATGTGTGTGCAAACGATTATGATAGGCGCGTTAAAAGCAGTTTAATTGTAACATTATCTTTATTTTGTATTATACGAGAAAGGCAATATAAACAAGATTACGTAGTAAATATTGCCGCATCCAGTTGTTATTCTTGTTAAACAAACCTTGATTCAAAAGTGTTATTAAACGATCAAGACAAGAGATGTAATGATTTTTTAACCTTGTCTATCTGTGATTTGACTCTTTACCCTCACCAATGCGATGCACTTGTGTCAGTATAACTCTTCATGTAAATTAAAAGTAGAAAATGTGAATTTCTTCCGGCTGTGTTTATAGTAGGAAGGGTAGTTTAATGAGCAGAGTAATTTATACATGTCAGAAACAACGTAACAATTGCATGTAGAGTCAGACCGATCAAATACTGATTAACAAGCTATAAGCATCATTTTGGTGGTCTTGCCGGGATTTTAAACGATCTACCGGCTGCTTTTTATATAGACGTAGGTGTTTAGTTAAAGTGAATAAGTTTTGTTAGGTAATGTTTTTTAGTTTAGGGATATAGAAAGTAAGAAACGTTTACAAGTGTTTCTTTCTTATGTGCATGCAGGTTTTGTGAGATAAACAGAGCAAAAATTGATGAGCTGTATGGCACAGACAGCACCAGATTATTCCCAAAGGATGATTTGTACAAGTCATTAAACAGGAAGAGGTAGATGAAGCATTATTGACTTTCATTCCCTGTGCCTGCGTTACCCTTATCCAGCGGAAAAAACGCTCTTTGACTTCCAGCTGTATGTGGACGCCGATGCGCAGCAAGCCCTAGAATTCGAAAGGCCTTTGATTTTAGCCAAGCTTCTCGTTGATCGTTTGACTGGATAAGAATAGCAGAGGGAACGATAGTAAGTTTGATCAGTGATTCAATAAGAAATGGCAGATAATATTTTATACATGTGTTGGACAGGTAGTTTATTTAGGAAGTGGTAACTTAAGGCTAAATTATAATTTTTAGTAAAAATATGAAGAAGTTAAATTAATTAAATGCGTACGCTGTAAGATTTCTTTGCAGGTTGTACGTAATGAACCCAAACTTGATTGTAGTCGATTCCTTTACGTCTGTAACCCATATAGTTATAGAAATTGACTTTGCCAGTCGTTATTCCGGTGGTAGGTAGTAGCTGAATGCTCTTAGCGGTTTGTAGCGTAGGATCTTATAGTGTACCACAGACTATTTCTTTAACCGACTTTGCCAGTCGTTATTCCGGTGGTAGGTAGTAGCTGAATGCTCTTAGCGGTTTGTAGCGTAGGATCTTATAGTGTACCACAGACTATTTCTTTAACCGAGAGCTTGATGGTGAGGTATTGTTAGGCCAAGCTTAGACGCATTTCAAATGCAGCGCCACTCATGCGCCGTACATTGGCGCGGCATAAAAACGGCGTTTGAATCAAATGCCGAACTAAAATGATAAAATTTTGTAGGGAAAAAAACGTTTTAGTATGTTCAAAGTCCCCTAATTTTCCGAAGATCGTCGAGAACGAGCGCTACAGGCGGCCATCTTGACCGAGTCAAAACAACTTTAGCTGGTTAACGTTAGACTTTAATCTATTTTGGCCGCGAAAAAGCTGGCCCTTTTCGCTACTAGTGGGCTATAACATAGAGCCTATAAGTAGCTCAACCAATCAGAACGCAGCATTGATGATAGACCATTAGTTGGATTTTACTAATATCTCGTCTATTGGCAGGAAAGCCCGACGCTCTCCCCCTCGGTACATTAGAAACCAATTACAAAATGCCTGCCAGTGACGGCGAGCGTCACTGGGAACAGTCTAAAAACGATACGATTGCCGGCAGAGGTCTCATTTTTCGATATTGGATTGGTAGTTGATTCATAAGTCACTGAACGCATAAATTGATTAATATCAGCTCCTCCTCCTACAAATTATACAGACTGATATCTCTTTGGAAGTAAAGTCGCCCCATAGTCAAATTTTATTAAATTGGAATGAAGGGTTTTAGTTTCAATAAACCTTTCAATGCTGTGGGTGGGGAAATGGAACACAAAACTTCTTTTCATTAACTGAGTTAAATAAGATTATGTCGACACTGCATCAGATAACTTTTGCGCCGGCAGGAAAACCATATCGGATACTCCTAGAGCTTCTGTTCACACACACTGAGAACGATGATTTCAGTGCGGTTTCCGTAACGGAGCGAAGCTGCGCTGCGCCGATCTTGAAAGTGGAACGTCACATATCGGATGTGTTCCTGTACCACTCTTTGGCACAGTGTTGTAGCAGGTGTTCATGCCTAAGTAACTATACCGGTTAGGTTTTCTTGTCGACTTGAAAATCTACCCACTATAGTGTAGACTTAGTCTAAGTCACTTAACGACCGTAAAATGTTTGAAAAGCTGACGTTTTGATCGCTATCCGTTCGTCAGAGCAAATAGGTCGACCAGGGAGGATGAGCGACGTGGTCTGGGACAAAGAAACGATGTTTTCACAACTTAAAAAGCGGTCATGTTCAATGGCCCTTATGCATGATTACCACAGAAGAGCAAATTTCACAACTAAGCATCCTTTTAACTCTACTGCCTTGGGCATACATTTATGGCAGCCATAGCAATTTAACCATTTTAAAACGAAACTCAGGATGCATGGTGAAATTTGCTAGTCTGAAGTAAACATGCATGAGGGTCATTCTAAAGTCGAGGAGTCGGGGCGAGTCCTCGAGCGGTCGTTTTTCTTTCCTGAGAGTCACGTGCGTCGAGTGAAAAAGTAAAATTAACCACGTCATTGCATTACGTAAGCAGTTTTCGCTCCCCCTTTCCCCACGCCTGCGATTTTAGGCAAAGCTTAACCAAGTCACTACCTAAAAACGAATGGCATCTAAGCTTCACGACTATTTATAGCAGAAACTTTTTATAGTTAGAGGAATCCAGTAAGAGAAGAGTACCATTAACATGTACGGTATTTATTAAGTGATAGGTCAGATAGATAAATTAATAAATTAAGTAAATTAAAATTAATGGGTATTTAAGGGCAATTTATGCTTAATTATTGCAATGGAAGAGCTTACAATTTATATGAAGAAACGGACTCACACATCACTGTTAATCAATTCTTTTCATTTCAGTTTTAATGAAATATTTTAGTTTTTCAAGTGTGTATATGTTAAGTTGATATCGTTTCCTGATTCGTTCGTAGTGCATCGGAAGGCGAACACAAACACGGATACTTTTCTTTTTTACAACTACCTTTTTATTGCAAAAACCTGAAGCGAATAAAAAACGCCAATCGATTTATAAGCTTTCTGTTTTCATTTCTATCAGTATCCTCTGTGTCAGTCTGTGTATCTTTTTACAGAAGGACGTCTTCGTGATCATGATCGTGTTTTGTTGTCATATTATATGCAATTCCGGCCTCAGCAGAGCACAAATTGTGAATTATTCTGTTCATCATCAGTAGTAAGTAGGTGTCGTTGGCGAGACACTCAACTCATTCGAAAGTTTATTCCTCGTATTAAAAAAAGTGTTTGTACTTGAC